TCGTTGCGTACTGGGGCTCTGGGAGACTTGTTGTTTAATAGAAGGAAAGTGTACTGTGTTATCTCCATGTAATGGTACAACAGGCTATCCGGATGTGCCAGATCACCACCCGGATATCAGTTTCCTGAGTATTCCAACTACTGCCTTCATCCCTCTATGGCTCTATGTTTGTCATGTTGGAGAGTGGCACACATACCAAAAGTCTCAAACAATGGGTTAAAATGAATTGATTAAGGAGAAAGTGGTGTAAAAGCTGTAAAAATGAACAGTATAGAAATCTCTCCACTAAAAAATAGTACACAATTCTTAAAATTTCCCACTAAATCTGAAACATTTCCACCCAATCTATAGTTTTACCACCAAAAGTTAAAAATTTAGAAAACGCAAAAGTACATTTAGTCCGTACAGATAGTTAGTGGAAATACAAATTCCTCCAAAACATTAGAGCCATTATCACCAACAAAAATGGATACCGTAAATACAGAAGTTGTAGTGATAGAATGTGCAGGAAAAGATTACAGATTCTTAGAGAAAAAATTCTTAGTGAGAGGCTAATGTAGAGCTGCTTAGAAAAAATTGGCATCAGCTGGGTGGAGTATTGCAGCCTGGCATCATCAAGGCATCAAGCAAACATCATATGCATATGGGTTCTAAACAAAAACCATCAATAGAATTTGGACAATTGCGAGGAGGCAGCTGAACAGAAAAGTCAATGTAAAAGACGGCGAAGATAGGAAGTGGACAAAAACAAGGTCAGTCAAATCCCACTCCAACAATGAACAAATATAAGGAGACTTGCAAAGGCTCTCAGCATGAGCAAGTCCAGAGTTCATAGAGCAATCATGAGTGGAAAATTTATGTCACAAGTCAACAATGCTATAAAGAGGTGTAGGCGTATAGGCGATGAATCTCATCCCGCAGTGATTGAACCTGTTCAAAAGAGGTGTAGAGATGGGAAGATTCCTCTTCGAAGACCCGGAGTCTGTTGACTTTGGCTGAGAGGTTCCGGGACTTCACCTCTTCCTTCTTCAGCTCTTTGGAGAAGTTTCCTAGCCTTTTCTCTTGTGCTACTGCCTACTGCCAACTTCTCAGTTTTTCTTTGCTCCATCCGGGATGATTGTTCCGCAAGTTGAAGAAACTCGTTTATGGTTTGGATACTCTCCTCTTGGTCCCGGATGAACTGTACCTTTTCTCTTATGACCAAGTCCCTTTGAGCCAGGGCCCCCAGGGCAGTCTTGGCCAGGATGGCGTCGGAGCTGGCCCCCCTGATAGTCGGCGTTTAGGGCATGGATTGTGTTACCAAGCTGGAGAAAAGACATAGACAAGATAAACACAAGAAATTTTCAAATGAACTTAGGTTTTAAAAGAGGAGAGTTACTTGGGCATGTGGAGCCAGCGCAGCAAGGCCTACGTAGTCAGGACGGCGAGGGCTGGGTCCTGGGGACCAGACTGAAGGGCTTGCCTCGCTGCGAAGAGGCTTTTCTTCTCTTGCTTATTGCATCGCTAGGCGAAAGAGAAGGCATCTTGAAGTGCAGGCCAAAGGTCCATGAACCTTTGGAAAGATTCCAAGTCATACTGATGTTTGGCTTGAAGGAAAGCAGAAGCCCCGGATGAAGATGGCCTTTCGTACTCCCAGGGGGGCTTCTCTCCGGATTTCTTCGATAGAATCTCCGGGGCCACTAGAGTTGGAGTGGGGGTTTGAAATTAGAAGACGGGTTTCCGATAGAACCTTCTGGAGGTGGTTTGTAGGAAGGTGTTGCGCGAGTTGCAGGAGTTTGAGGAGGAACCGCTTCCGGGATACTCACTTCCTTGATAGGTATCACCTCTGAGGCGTTCTCCCTCGTTCTCTGATCTTCATCGTCAGGGACAGCCTGACAATGTTTTTGGGGTGACTGACGACCACCTTGTGAGTCGGTGGCATCATGAAGTCACTGAACTCCCGGTCTCCCGGGGTGCGGGAGACGCTTCTCCTCAGCATTTTCCCAGTCCACAGCGAGGGGCACCGCGGATCACATTGAAAGAGGAAAATCTTCTTGATTAACAGAAGTACCTGGAGTTCCGGCATCAGTCAAAGGAACATCCGGGGTTCAGGTTTGTGGTGAACCTCTTGCATGATCTGCAGAGACCCTATCATCTTCAGCATTCCCAGGACTATTTGCTTGGGTCCCGGGGTCTTCTTTGGCAGCAGTATTGGGGGCCCCTTCGGTAGCGAGGGTCCTGGAGGTTGTACGGGCATCACCCTCAGGAACCCCTTGGACAGCGGGGGTTCTGGACTCTTCAGCACAAGTTTCATTGAAGGGAACCTCTTGGACAGCAGGGTTCCCATGGCAGCATCTGCCCAAGTCCCTTGGTCAGTCGGGGCTCCGGAGGTAGTGGGGGCAGAGTCACGGAGATTCTTTCTCCTGGTCTCATCGAAGAAGAAGAAACCTGCATGGGTGATAATATCTCTGGTGTGCGAGGAGTGCTCAACAGGGGCTTCACCCTTTGACTGAATGAAATATTGATGGATTTGGGGAAGGGACTAAGATTGGAGGTTGAAGAACTAAGCAATTGAAGCTTCAATGCAATGGAAGTCAGAAACTTGAACTGGAAGGTAAATAAAGAAGATAGAAGTGCTTGATGACAAGACTTAATAAACAGAGAAATCGCGTTGGGTCCCGAGGCATGATGATGATTGGAAACGGCAATATTGAAGTGACGGTTCTATCACAGCGTTTCCCAAGAATTAAGTCATGAGCGTTTTCAATTGAGTAGTCCCCCGGTGACACGTCACATAGGGGACTTGGGAGCTTATGATCGATGGAGATCGGGTCCACCACTCTAATTAAATAAGTGGACCTGATTGGCCCAATCCCGAAAGGCTGCAAGGCACAGCGAGACATGGAAGGGAGGCGAGAGCGAGCCGGACATTAGAAGGGCTTAGGCATGTGAGAATCTTCTAGATATAAGATTGTGTTGAAATAGGAAATATGAGAAGTGGGGTGAAAAATTTGGGATTGTTATCCGATTCCTTCTAGGATTTGGATACCCAATTTGTCTCCCCATAATATGTATAAATAGACCTTCTTTGTTAAGGTGGAGGGATCCGAAATTATTCAATACACAGTATATTGTGAGATTTATTTTCTTATTCTTGATTGGGTTTTGACATCCATTAGACTATGTATGTATGTGTGTATATATATGTGTGTGTGTGTGTGTGTATGTTTTATTTTTTATTTTTAATGTAAATATGTATGCATGTATAATTGTCGAATACATATAGCGCATATTTTAAACAGATGTATAACCAAAATGGATATTAAACAGATCGAATGTACAATCACCACATCTACATCTACATCCATTTATAATTGAATGTTTGTTAATGAATAATATCCGCTTTCTTGTATGGACTTAATTTGGCTAGCAACAATATGTTACCATATACTACATTGTTCCGGGTATAGTTGAATCAATCAGAGATGGTAACTTCCATTAAATGTTAGCCACTGTTAGGGTTACACTGCTTTTTTTATTAGCATGTATCGGGATTGCTCAAGTAGTTTTAAATGGATTTTTTGCATCAGTTGCCCTTGAACTCCATAAAGTGCAAGTTTCCCCCGAACTTTAAAAAGTGCATCAGTAGTCCCTACTTTTTATAATGTCCGCACTTTATCCCTGAACTTTTTGAAAGTGCATAATTTCCGCCTGAAGTTTCAAAAGTGCCCCATTAGTCCTTATACTTTTCATAAATTACATGCTTTCTCCCGATTTTTGAAAAGTGCATCATTAGTCCTGTTATTTTTATTCAAGTTTAGTTAAAGACGTTATTAAATCAAGAGAAATTCTTAAGGTTTCCACCATACACTATTCTTAAAAATATAGAACTAATGGTACACTTTTGAATGTTCGGGGGAAAGAACACACTTTATGAAAAGTATATGGACTAATGGTGCTCTTTGGAAGGTTTGGGATGAAAACATGCACTTTTTAAAGAATTCGGGGATAAAGCACACACTTTATTAAAAGTATAGGAACTAATGGTGCATTTTTGAAAGTTCGGGGGGAAAATATGCACTTTATCAATAATTCAGGGGTAAATGCCACAAAAAGCTCGTTTTAAATGGTTTTGTGCTTTATTGGGATCAAAACTGTTTTATTTGTTTTTCTTTTTCTGACTATCACACAGCTTACTGAAGCAGAGCGGAGTTTAAATGAGACACAGGTAAAGCTGGTTCGCCTTCGTGGTGTGGGCAGTATTCTAACATCCAAGAGTTCTCAGGAGAATGATCGGAAGAAGGTAAAATCTAATAATGGTTCCTTGAGTCCAGCCTCATGTAGTGAAAACACTAAAGGATTTTCTGGGACTCAACCACAAGGGAGGTCTATGCCACTCAGACCATTAGAGCATAGATCTGCATGTGCTTCTGCCAGCAAAGAACTATCTTCTAGATACCAACCTCAGGGTAAACCACAGCTTTTAGTTCCTACGGTGAAGCCAAAAGTTTATCAACCAACTAAGATGATAGAATCTGAACCCAAAGTGACCAGTAGAGCTGGTTCTTTGACTGGTGAACTTGCTTTTCCTCACAGTATGAGTATGACGAAGCTAATGGCAGAAACAAATGCGAAAAAACTTTCTGGGAAGGAAATTGTTGGTGTTCAAAGTAAAGGAACAAAGAGAAAATTTGGTAAAGTTTCATTTTTGGTTTTACACTTTTAATCTGCTTGGTGAATATTATTCGGCCTACATAAAATTTGGAAGTCTATGAAATATGTGAATTTTAATTAACTGATGTGTTATTATCACACTCATTTTCTTATAACAGAGCAGAAAGAACACAAAGATCTAATCTCTATAATCCACACCTGCTCTTCGCCCTGCACTATCCGCTGTTATACCTCTGCTATATCAAGTCAGCATAAGAGGAAGCCTAGAAGTCTTGTTTTGTGCCCCACGAGTGAGCAACTTTTTGTCACAAGGTAGCTTTCTTCAGAGTCTAAACAGAAATCTCTTTTTTTTTGTTTTTCAATTTCTAAAGCTCGATGTTCTTCAATTTATTGCTTAAAAGAAGCCAATTGGGTTAATTTTAAGAAAAAATATTTTTAAGTGATGGCATACTTTCTTTTCATTTATGATCTTTGTCTGAGGCATTTTGGTGCTTGTACATATTATTAGTTGCAACGTTTTGCAGTGATAGTTTTCATAGTTACATTGTACTTTCATATCATCTTTTTCTAGAACAAAAGCATTGGGTTATTCTGTTGGATATTTCCCTGCTCAAAAATTAGATGTTTTGTGATATATAAAACAAATTGGTGCTCTTAGGCCCATCGTAATTGATATAACCAATACAAAATTTCATTTTAAATTGCAGTGCGCTGGATGGAGTTGTCAACCTATGGCAGATTCAGAGCAGAGGGTGTGTTAAGTTCATTAATGGCTAACGTTTGTAGATGTTAAAGAATAAAATTACTATGAAAGTATATACTAAAAATCTAGAGAGTATGTTGATTATTGATGTGATTAGAACACTGTGAGACTAGTATTATAAGCTTATATAAATAGATCTAGAAATCTCATCCGCTAATCTAAGAGTTTCTACATATTTACCAGTGGCACAGACATTATCTCTCACAATAGGCAAATCATTTCATTTATCTTAGATCATACTTTCTTCTTTTTCATTGCATCCTATCTTCTAACAAGTGAATCCCATTTCTGATTGTTATTGATTATTTGTTCTCATCATATCTTTAGTTCTTTACATGCATTGTCCATATCCAGATCCACCGCCAACCTTCTCAGTTCTACTGATTGTTCATCAGCAAAACATAGGAAATGGCCAGAAGATATGGCCTGGCATCCTGAGGGGGATAGTATATTTTTGGTTTATAGTGGTGATAAAGGTGAATCCCAGGTTTCAATTCTTAATCTGAGCAAAACAAAAGAGGTATTGATTGCATAATATCATGACATGAGCTTTTTACAGTTGTACAACCTACCAGTACAAATATGCTTACATGCAGTCTTTTAAATGCCGAAACAAGAAATATTTGTAATGGACATTAACCTTGTTCATTAATACATATACTTTGTGAAATGATGCGTATAGACAATGTTGAACAAAACATACAAACATTATTTTTTTTTGTTACAGAAATAGTTGAATGTTTTCATATGTTCAATTCCTTTTGTTTCGAGTTGGGGTCTCTTGGAAACAGCCTCTCTACTTTTCAAGTAGGGGAAAGGTCTGTGTACACTCACCCTCGCCAAATCCCATTCGGTGGGATTATACTTGCTTTATTGTTGACTTGTTGTATTCATAGTTTCGTATGTTCAGTCCACTACACGTTATGTTAGACATGAAAAACAACAGTATCACTCTGTTGATATTGGAGATCAAGTGTTGGTTATCACAGTCTACTGATATTAAAGATCAAGCATATCATCTAGCTAACTCAAGAAATAAATGTTTTGCTTGCGTATGTAAATTGTGTCCCATCGTTTGTGTGGTATGCTTGAAATGTAATTGATACTGGATGACCTTCATACGTGAAAAAATCTGCATTAGCATACATACTCATAATCTTTTACTGCCTATCAAGAATAGTAGTATTAGTCTTAGTCTTATAAGCCGATGCATTGATAGAAATTGCGCGTGAGTTTCTTGGAAGGGAAGCCACATGTTAGAGGCATCATCAACAACATAGTTTTCATGCCATGGGAAGATATTTGCTTTGTTACTGGTGGTAGTGATCATGCTGTAGTGTGCTGGACGGAGAAAGAGGAGGAGAATTTGTGGATTCCTAAAGCTTTGCATAGAAGTATGCATTCGTCAGCTGTAATGGGAGTTGCTGGTATGCAGCATAAGAAAAGTGTGATGTCTGCAGGAGCTGACAAGAAGATTATTGAGTTTGATCTTCAAGCTGGAAGAGCTGACTACAACCATCAACTTGATAGCAAATGCATGAGTGTTTTGCCTAATCCACATGACTTCAATCTCTTTATGGTTCAGACAGGGTAAATTACTTCCCCATAGCATGTTTCATTTGCATACTTATTTCTTCAAACCAAGGGACTGTGAGGAAATAAATAGGTGGCTAGAAGTGAATTCGGTTTCATTTGGTAATGTTTTTTTTCTTTTACTCTACTTTTACTAAACCCAAAACGTAGGTAGGGAAAATATAAATAATTTTCCTTTCACTGTAATCTCCGTGCCGGGTTTTGGGAAAGAGAGAGTATAAAGCAAATGAAGTTTATTGTGTTATTTCATCTCGCCTCGTATTAACCTGTAACTAAAACCTTGTGAAAAATTACTCTTTTAGCTCTGTTAGCAATGAACTTAACTACACAGACTTTACACCCACCCAAAAGAGAAGGGAGGCTGTTCCAGAAGACCAGGCTCTTGTACGGTAAAACAAAAGCAGAAAAAAAGAAGACTAAAATAATAAAATATGTAATGCTACAAAAGGATCACATTGTTTCCCTGCTTATACTTTGGTTTTAAGATCTGGTTTCAGGTATTTGTTTTGGTACAATTTCCACAGGTATGGAATCCTTTAATGCATTTATTATTCCATGCAGGACTTTGGAGAAGCAGCTAAGGTTGTTTGATATCAGAGCAAGGCAACGGGAGGTACATGCTTTTGGGTGGAAGCAAGAAAGCAGTGATTCACAATCAGCTCTCATAAATCAGGCTTGGTCACCCGATGGTTTGTACATCACATCTGGTTCAGTTGATCCTGTCATTCACATATTCGATATAAGGTACAACTCTCACAAACCTTCACAGTCCATAAGGGCCCATCAGAAGCGAGTCTTCAAAGCTGTTTGGCACCACACTCTCCCTTTCCTGATATCCATCTCATCTGATTTGAACATTGGATTGCACAAGGTCAACTGAGTTGGGAAAGAACAAAATCCTTTTGTCTGCTCATTTCTTTTGCTCCTTGCTGTTTTGCCAACTGTACGCATTTGAAGAATTCTATGATCTGATAAACCACACACACACACACACACACCCTAGTGCGTAGTTGAACACTGACTTGTAACCGAAAGCAGTCCATTTTTTGCTCAACAGTGGAGCACATTGCTTCTGGTGCTCTAGCATCAAGCTCAATTTAGCCTATTGGGTTGCACAAGGTCAACTGAGTTGGGAAAAAAACAAAATCCTTCTGTCTGCCAATTTATTTGCTCTTGCTGTTTGAAAATTGTATTGGACCAATTTTGTAATCTGAAAAAACCACACCCAAACACACAGTCACACACTAGTGTGTAGTTGAACACTGACTTTTTTCGTGCGAAGTTGAACACTGACGTGAAACTGAAAGCACTCCTTTTGCCCAATAATGGAGCTTGTGCCATGTTTCTGGTATGCTAGCTTTGTGCTCAATTGAGCGTTGTAAACCTTCTCAACAATACCCTCTGTTAGAACTTGAAGACAACTAAATATGTATACCTGTTCTTTTTGTTTTGAATAAAAAGGCCACGCATCTCCGCTTGGCTCCCCCTTTTCTTTTGCCACTACAAAGGAGATATGTGTTCGAAGTTTCTTTAATAAAACTTGCATACTTCATATCTTTAAAAAAGAAGTGAGTAAAAGTCGAGCTCTGCTTTCCCATTCGGATTTAGTTGACAAGACTAAAAATAATTACTACCTCTATCTAAATATTTGTTCAGTTTTTAATTTTTCACTCAATCATTTTTAATCTTTGACTTAAAATTAAATAAAATATATATTGTATATTAATTAGATAAAATAATATTTTAAAAATATATCTATATAATAAATCTATTAAAATTATTTTTCTATAAATGTTTAATATCAATTTTATTTAATTTGGGGTTAAATGTACTTATTTTGGTTGAAAAAAGTCAAACGTAGACAAATATTTAAGAATGAAGAAAGTATATTTCATGGAGTGGTGGTTAAATAACAAAAAGATTTGTGAAACCAACATTTCTTTCATTGCAACAGTACATTTTTAGTTTAATTATTGCTTTCATACTTCCTCCCTGTAAAATACGCCTCTTTGGGTTGTGCATTTCTTGAAAGCCAGGGAATTCTGCACATAAGTATTCCCGCCCAAATGCAAATGTCTATCACTCGTAGATTTTACGTAATATATTACATATTACTAGATCTACGGTTATGCATTCCAGTGTCGACCGTTCTGGAAAAAAAAAAGAAAGAAAGTTTCCAGTATAATTGGCAAACCAATACCCGAGATTAAGTAACATAAGCAACTTAAAAAAAAGGAAAAAAAAAATATATCTCTGTAATTGCGTAAAATAGATATCTGAAAAAGGAAAGTAGCATTTAGGCCCCGTTCCGTTCAACTTATTTTTTCTTATTCTTATTAAAATCAGATCAGATCCAATCAGATCAGATCAGATCCAATCATTATTATTATTATTATTATTAAAAATGAAAAAGAATAAACTTTATAAACAAGTTAAATAGAAAACTGTCTGTAATTTCGTAAAATAGATATATGAAAAAGCAAAGTAGCATTTAGGCCCTGTTTCGTTCAACTTATTTTTTCTTATTCTTATTAAAATCAGATCAGATCTAATCAGATCAGATCCAATCAGATCAGATCAGACCCAATCATTATTATTATTATTATTATTATTATTATTATTATTATTATTATTATTATTATTATTATTATTATTATTATTCTTAAAAATGAAAAAGAATAAACTTTATAAACAAGTTAAATAGAAAACTGAGAAAGTAATCTTTAATTATTAGACGCCGAAAAAATTATTTTTAAAATACATTGACAATATCAATCTAATTCTACTTTTAAAATACATTTTTGTAGCTACTTGTAATTTGAGTTTCTAAAGTTTTGATCTTTTATAAGGATGAGATATTTTAATAAAAATATTATCTCTTCTATATATTGATTATCTAAATTTAATTACTTTTTAATGTATATATAAATTAAATATTTATTCTAATGTATATATGAAGTAATTATTAAAATATTAAATTAATATTCTAATTTCACAAAAAAAATAATCATAAAATAAAAAATATTATTACGTTATAATATGAATGATTATTCTAATATATGAATTAAATAATTTTATTTTATTAAAAAATAAGCATAAAATAAAAAATATTGAATATATTATAATATGAATTATCATTACAATTTTCAAACGTTATTAAAAAGTCAAATCAAATTATTGATTTGAATTTTAAATTAAATCATAATTAATCAGACCATATCAGACCAAATCAGATCAGATCAGGTCCAATCAGATCAGATCAGAACTAATCAAAATCGGATCAGATCAGAAAAAATAAGTTGAACGGAATGGAGCCTTAATATATGAGATGCACATTTAAGGTAAAAATTGATCCAAATAAAGTAACGATGAGTTTTAAAATTTAAGGTATTTCGTTAATAAAAATATTACAAAAAGGAAAAGAACTACTTATGGAAAGCCATTGATTTTAAGATCTAATAATAAATAATAATAATATGTCGTATACTTTTAAATAAAAAATAGATTAAAAATCGTTGAATATCAAAAATGGAAGTGATTTTTAAAAAAGGAAACTTAAGATGCCATTTTAACAATACATACATGTTTTTTTGGTCAGACAGAAATAAGATAATAATGAAAGCTTGGGTGTGGCGGAACCATTTGTTTGGGTGTGGCGGTACTAATGTTGACTATTCCGAAATTAAAAAAAGGAAAGCTTCGAGTACAATGGGCAGTTCAATGCCCGTGATTAAATAAAATCTTCCTATTCTTAAAAGCATGGTGATGAATACCTTGGACTAGGTGTATCCTTCCCAACAAAATAAGCGGCCAAACAAGGCCCATCTAATCACAGGATTCGAACATGCTCGGCCAAAGACGCCCCGCTCGACAGAGAGGGACTTGAAGAAAACCAAAGCCCCAAGGTGACAGCTGCACTCGGACACACGTCCCTACTCAGCCTGGGTACATCTACTCGGACCATGGGGCGGACCCGGTCAGATCCTCACTCGGCTATCTTCCAACGGCAGAGCATGCACACTCGGCCTCTGCTGCTAGCAAAGCACTGTGGGCCTACCACGAGCATTGGAGCCTGTATACCCTGTCTAATCAAATGGGCCCACGTAGAGACATCTCTGATAGTATTGTGTGTACGTTAGTTGTAGGCACTGTTAGAATAATAGACCAACGCTAGAGGGGGGGTGAATAGCGTTTGATCAAGAAATCGCAGGATTAAAAAATGAATAAACGAGAAGTAAAGGGAAGAGTAAGAGGCACACCGATTTTACCCTGGTTCACCACAAATTGTGGCTAATCCAGCCTCCCGAGAGACTCTCTCGAGCTACACTACTTCCGTTAAGCTTACAGGTGCTTAACAAACCGTTACAACCTGAGAACTCGAGTCCCACGAGCCTCAACAACACTTGCTCGGAGATACCGCACTCCAAGACTTCAACCCGAAGGAAAGTACCTTTCCTTCGTACAACCAAGGGAAACAAATTTCCCTTAATGTCTATAAAAACTAAGAACACTCAAGAACAAGGCTCTCTCAAAAGAGTGAATATGAGTAAAGTAATACGCTCAAGATCACAACACGAACTTCACAAAAATGGCTCTCGAAAATCTATGAATAATGTATGAATAATATGCAATGAACGAATAGGAGTTGTGAAGTAATGTGATGTATAAAACAGACCCAAACACCCCATTTTATAGTGCCAAAATAGGCTCCAACGGGTCAAAACATTTAAGGGGTGATTGGCTTGATTTGTGGGATTTGATTGAAATTGGATCTGCTGAAAATCAGCCAGACAGCGCTGTCCTAGGCTTGGACATCGCTGTTCTAGGCTTGGGTTTTGAAAATGGGAAGCAACGGTCATGCCAACAGCGATGTCCAATACTCCTACATCGCTGTTTTGGCTGTTGACTTCCAAACAAGGAAAGTTTTAGCCTTAAATTCCTTCCAACGGTCAGGTCTCTACATCGATGTTCAATACTTGAACATCGCTGTTTAGGTCTGACTTTGAAGGTGGAGTTTTGGCCTGACAGCGCTGTAGGGAAGGCTACATCGCTGTTCGAGATGTTTCTGGAAACCCAACCTTGGCTCAACAGCGATGTCTAATATGCAACATCGTTGTTGGAAGACTTAACGCCAAAGCATGGTTTTCAGCTACCCAAGCCAGACAGCGCTGTTGGTTGCACCAACATCACTGTTGGGCTGGTTTAGCCAGACCCATGGTTGCTTTAGTCATGCTGTTAGCCGATGTCAAAAACGTAAGTTCTCCAAAATAAAAACCAAGTATTGAAAACATTTTTTTATTGCATTTTGCTAAGAAATCAAGTAAAACAACTCAAAAACCACGTCATTTAGTTGAAAACCACGGCTAACCAAGTTTGTGTCGTTTCGCATGGTTTTCACTAAACGACCAAAAACAGAAGGTGGTTTTTGAAGCGTTTTTGTTGGAGAACTGTTTAAATATGCCCATAAGTAAAAACCAATCATAAAAAGTTGAAAACTACTTGGTTGGTTTGGATGCCAAAAACCAATGCCGAAAACCGAAAGCCGAACGCCGGTTTCTGAAAGCCGAACGCCGGATGACTTGGTTTTTGGTTTAGGCGAACTCCAAGTGTTTTTAGGCATGTTTAAAACTTATGAAACACATTTTTTAATATGCAAAAAACATTTTGATGAAAAGAGCCTAGAGAGCCAAGGTTTGAAAGTTTGTGCCGGTCTTGATCACATTAAGACCGACTCAATACAATTCTAAGTCTTCGTTCTTGGTTCTTGGTTCTCAAATCATCATGCCATGTTCCTTCGCCTTGGTTTCGCTCACTTTAACCTTGTTATGTCACGGCGGTTTGGCATTATCAAAACCTGTCATAAAACGAACACGGTTTAGTATGACGTAGACGTAAACCCGTGTACCAACAATTTCCCCCTTTTTGATAATGGCAAACAAGACGGGGATATGCATACTAGGGGATATTTGATTTTCAAAAAGTTGTGAAACAGTTCCCCCTTAATTTGTGCTTATAAAACAAGTAGTAGGGTTTAAAATCAAACGGTCTCGTTAGAGGCGTTCCCCCTTAGTGTATGCATAGCCTTTTTCTTCCCCCTTTTGACATTAACAAAAAGATAAAAGATAATTTTATTTATTAAAATTGGGAAATAGAGGAGTACAACGGAAGCAATAAAAGACATGATAATTAAAGGAAAAGAGATAGAAGTTCTAGGACCGCGCTGTTGTGCCCTTGTACAGCGCTGTTCTGCGTCAAGTTTAGAAAAAAAACAGGAGTCAATTGGACAGCGATGTTGGGTACCCTACAACGATGTTCCAAAAGTTTCTGGAACTGTGTAAGGGTTTGAAACCATTAGAATAGCGCTGTTGGGTTTCTCTACATCGCTGTTTTACGATTGGAGAAAAAATTTGTAAAAATGGACATCGATGTTGAAAGTGGGACATCGCTGTTTGAAAAGTTTCTGGTTTTAGTTGAAAAACAAGGTGTTTTGGGTAGACAGCGATGTTTTAAAAAAAAGCATCATTGTTCAAAAAGTTTCTGAAAGTGAGGATTAAGGGACTCCCTAGGACAGCGTTGTTGGCTTGTTGTACAGCGCTGTTGGCACAAGCTGGTTGACGGTATTTCTCTCAACAGCGCTGTTAGATCTCCTGGACAGCACTGTTTGCATGGTTCCCCCTGATTTCATGGATGGGGTACCTGCAAAAAAGAAAAAATTCTCCGACGCTCAAGTTAGTAAACGTTTAACGAGTTTAGATGCACAACTTAGATCATCGTGGAGTCAAGGATTCCGAGTTCACTTTGAATGCGGAAGAACGACTCTTTCTCTAAAGGTTTTGTGAAAATGTCGGCTAATTGGTTATGTGTTTCGACAAACTCAATTTCGACATCACCTTTGAGAACATGATCTCTAATGAAATGATGCCTAATGTCAATGTGTTTCGTCCTTGAGTGAAGAACGGGGTTCTTCGTCAAGCTTATGGCGCTAGTATTATCACAACAAAGTGGGACGTGATTGATACTAAGGCCATAGTCCACGAGTTGTTGCTTCATCCAAAGGATATGAGCACAACAACTACCGGCGGCTACATATTCCGCTTCGGTTGTGGATAACGCAACACTGACTTGTTTCTTACTAAACCATGAGACTAGAGAGCTACCAAGTAAGTGGCAAGTCCCACTCGTACTTTTACGGTCCAATTTGCAACCGGAAAAGTCCGAGTCGGAATAGCCAACGAGATGACAAGAAGAGCCTTTTGGATACCACAGTCCAACGTTAACCGTGCCGGCAAGGTATTTCATAATCCGTTTTACCGCCGTTAAGTGCAATTCCTTCGGACACGATTGGTACCTTGCGCAAAGGTAGACGCTAAACATGATATCCGGCCTACTGGCGGTAAGGTAGAGAAGGGATCCGATCATACCTCGATACTTTTTGACTTCTACTTCCTTACCTTTCTCGTCTTTGTCAAGATGGTCAGACGTGCTCATCGGAGTCGCCATGGCTTTGGCGCTGTCCATTTCAAACCGTTTTAGAAGCTCCTTGCAATATTTGGCTTGGCAAATGAACGTGCCATTTTTCATTTGCTTGACTTGGAGTCCCAAAAAGAATGTGAGCTCGCCCATAATTGACATTTCGAATTCACTTGTCATTAAAGTTGAGAATTCCTTGCACAAAGATTCGTTAGTAGCACCGAATATAATATCGTCTACATAAACTTGAACCAAAAGGATGTTATTGTTTTTACTCTTGATAAAAAGTGTGGTGTCAACCTTTCCCCTTTGGAAACCACTATCCAAAAGAAATTTGCTCAAATGTTTGTACCAAGCACGGGGTGCTTGTTTAAGACCGTAGAGCGCTTTCTTGAGTTTGAAGACATGGTCGGGAAACTCAAAGTCTTCAAACCCTGGGGGCTGGTCAACATACACTTCCTCTTGAATAAAACCATTGAGGAAGGCACTCTTAACATCCATTTGTTAAAGGTTTCAAATCCATAGACGAGGCAAAAGCAAGAAGTAAACGAATAGCTTCTAAACGTGCTACGGGTGCATAAGCTTCTTCAAAATCAATGCCTTCTTCTTGATTGTAGCCTTTAGCTACGAGCCTAGCTTTGTTTCTAGTGATTATTCCATTTTCATCGAGTTTGTTACGGAACACCCATTTCGTACCAATAATCGTACGATCATCGGGCCTTGGCACCAATTCCCAAATGTCATTCCGTTTGAATTGGTTTAGCTCCTCTTGCATAGCCAAGGTCCAATGTTCATCGTTTATTGCTTCGGAAATGGTTGTAGGTTCAATTTGAGAAACAAAAGCCATGTGACCTACGGTGTCCCTAAGAGAGTTTCGAGTACTTACCCCGCGGTTGATGCTGCCGATTACCTGGTCAAGTGGATGGTTCTTGTGCGTTCTCCAAGCGATGGGAAGCTCGGTTTCCTCTTGTTCTTCTTCGTCCGCTTGGTCCTCATTTTCGACCATCACTTGAGGTGTTTCCTCAGGTTGTGGTTGCGGGTTGGTGTAAAATGGCATGTCTTCTTCATCGTCTTCAACGTGTAATCTTTCGAGTGAATCTGCAAGATCATCACAAATAGCCTTTCTCGCCTTCGGAAAATACAACATGAGGGGATTCCTCAATAGTCAAAGTGCGTTTATTAAAAACTCTATAGGCCTTGCTACGTAGAGAATAACCAAGAAAAATCCCTTCGTCCGACTTGGCATCAAATTTTCCCAAGTTATCTTTGCCGTTATTATGAATAAAACATTTTCAACCAAAGACTCGAAGATGGGAAAGGTTTGGCTTTCTTCCTTTGTATAATTCATAGGGCGTTTTCAGGAGTATCGGTCGAATGACGGCTCAGTTTAACACGTAGCTCGCGGTACTCACGGCATCCGCCCAAAAATACTTAGGNATAGAGGAGTTTTCAGATTTACCTACCGAACCAATGCCGATAATCTTTCCCTTGCTATTATCTCCAAAAACTACGTTTCCTCCTTTAGCGGGTTTGATTTGGAGAAACTTGGATGCATCCCCGGTCATGTGCTTGGAGCATCCGCTATCAAGGTACCAAAGTACACTTGATGCCTTCAAGCACACCTATGAAACACATCAATGAGTTTTAGGTACCCAATTTACGTTGGGTCCTCGGGTGTTAGGTGTGTGATGGTAGTGTTCTTGATTTTGTGATAGGTGCATATGCCTGGTGTAACAAACGGGAGCAATATGGCCTATCCTATTACAATAATGGCAAACTACGTTGGGGTTGTACATGTGCCTAGGTTCATAATAGTTAGAGGGTTTAACCATTTTGTTCCTATTTTGTGAAAACAATGGTTTTTGAAAATTTTGAAATTGGCCTTTTCTAGGTGCTCTAGCATTATTTCATCTAATTTGAGAAAATTCGTTTTTATGCACAAGATCATTTTTCTTATGTTGTCTACCATGACCATTTTCATTCCTAGGTTTTAGTCTAGGTTGTCTAGTGTCCTTAGGTTGACTAGGTTTTCTATTATCTTGATTTTTAGGTTTCTTATGTTGAACCTTAGATGATTGTCTAGGTGGTGGCTCAACATTTTCTCTGGCTTCATTTTTATTGAAACCTATTCCTTCCTTAGAAAAGTGCATAGTGTCAAGAAGTAAATTTAAGTCTTTGTGAGGAGTATTAAATTTCTTGACTGTGCTCTCAAGTTTAGCGACTTGCTCTTTTAAAGCTTTGCAAGACTCACATTCACTTGATGAACTTTCCGGTTTCTCAGCGCTTCTTTTTCCAAAAAAATTGTTTTCTTGTTTAAGTTTTTCATTTTCTTTTTCCAATTTTACAAAATCGTTTTCAAGTGTAGAAAGACGTTTCTTCAAAGATTTATTTGTTTTAGATGCGCTAACAAATTCTTCATAAAGTCCATGAAGTGCTTCTTGCATTTCATCAAAAGTATAAGAGTCGGAAGAAATGGTACATACCTCTTGGACGTCGTCGTTTTGATCTTCGTGCGCCATGAGGCAAAGATTTGCAGCTTCGTCCTCCTCTTGGTCGGTTGATTCGTCTTCGGAATCGCCACCCCAAGAGATGTAAGCCCTTTGCTTCTTGAAGCCGGGCTTGTCCTTGCCATGTTTGGCTTTTGGACACCTTGGCTTGATGTGGCCAATCTCGCCACAGCCGTAGCACTTGGAAGGACCGTCGTGCTTCCTTTCCTTCCGCTCAAATTCCTTCTTCATGAACTTGTGGAACTTCTTGATGACAAGTCCAAATTCGTGGTCGTCATCGCTTGAAACCTCTTCCACCGGTTCCTTGGTTGCTTTGAGAGCTATCCCCTTTTTCTTTTGTTCATCCAAAGACGGGGTTAGAATAGTAGATTCATAGGTTTTAAGATTACCTCTTAGCCCGTCGATGGTGACGTTGGAGACTCCAATGGATTCATAGATTGCATCGGCTTTTGACCTCCATTTGGGGGTGAGGCTTCGCAGGATTTTCCTTACGAGATCCTTGTTGGTATATGTCTTTTTAAGAGCATGAAGATCGTTTATGATTTTTTAGAAACGATCAAACATGTCGTCGATTTTCTCACCTTCCTTCATTCGAAACATTTCATACTCTTGGGTGAGAAAGTCGATCTTGGCTTCACGAACTTGATCGGTACCTTCGTACGTCACTTCAAGCCTTTCCCACATCTCATTGGCGGTTGTGCAACAGGAGATCTTTCGGTAGTCATCGGGGTTGACCGCACAATATAACATATTGATGGCCTTTGCATAATTCTCAATCTTCTTGATGTCCTCGGCATCAAATTCGTCCTCGGTCTTTGGGACCGTGGTTTCTCCTACTTTCTTCATTGGGATTTCCTCTCCGTTTTTGATGACCAACCATAATTGGAAGTTGGTGGAACGGATATAGATTCTCATCCGTTCCTTCCAATAGGAATAGTTGGTGCCATCAAAGAGTTGTGGCCTAGAAGTTGATTGACCTTCTCCAATTCCTGCATAAAGATTTCTAGAAGAAGAACCCATGATCGCTTTACTCTCAAACGGTTAAGTTTGGACGCGAGTTAGGCTCCGATACCAATTGTTAGAATAATAGACCAACGTTAGAGGGGGGGTGAATAGCGTTTGATCAAGAAATCGCAGGAATAAAAAATGAATAAACGAGAAGTAAAGGGAAGAGTAAGAGGCACACCGATTTTACCCTGGTTCACCACAAATTGTGGCTAATCCAGCCTCCCGAGAGACTCTCTCGAGCTACACTACTTCCGTTAAGCTTACGGGTGCTTAACAAACCGTTACAACCTGAGAACTCGAGTCCCACGAGCCTCAACAACACTTGCTCGGAGATACCGCACTCCAAGACATCAACCCGAAGGAAAGTACCTTTCCTTCGTACAACCAAGGGAAACAAACTTCCCTTAATGTCTATAAAAACTAAGAACACTCAAGAACAAGGCTCTCTCAAAAGAGTGAATATGAGTAAAGTAATACGCTCAAGATCACAACACGAACTTCACAAAAATGGCTCTCGAAAAGCTATAAATAATGTATGAATAATATGCAATGAACGAATAGGAGTAGTGAAGTAATGTGATGTATAAAACAGACCCAAACACCCCATTTTATAGTGCCAAAATAGGCTCCAACGGGTCAAAACATTTAAGGGGTGATTGGCTTGATTTGTGGGATTTCATTGAAATTGGATCTGCTGAAAATCAGCCAGACAGCGCTGTCCTAGGCTTGGACATCGCTGTTCTAGGCTTGGGTTTTGAAAATGGGAAGCAACGGTCATGCCAACAGCGATGTCCAATACTCCTACATCGCTGTTTTGGCTGTTGACTTCCAAACAAGGAATGTTTTAGCCTTAAATTCCTTCCAACGGTCAGGTCTCTACATCGATGTTCAATACTTGAACATCGCTGTTTAGGTCTGACTTTGAAGGTGGAGTTTTGGCCTGACAGCGCTGTTGCTGGTCAACATCGCTGTCCAAAAACTTTCTGCCAATGCACTATATTTTTGGCTTAGGTTGGACAGCGCTGTAGGGAAGGCTACATCGATGTTCTACATGTTTCTAGAAACCCAACCTTGGCTCAACAGCGATGTCTAATATGCAACATCGCTGTTGGAAGACTTAACGCCAAACCATGGTTTTCAGCTACCCAAGCCAGACAGCGCTGTTGGTTGCACCAACATCGCTGTTGGGCTGGTTTAGCCAGACCCATGGTTGGTTTAGTCATGCCGTTAGCCGATGTCAAAAACGTAAGTTCTCCAAAATAAAAACCAAGTATTGAAAACATTTGTTTATTGAAGTTTGCTAAGAAATCAAGTAAAACAACTCAAAAACCACGTCGTTTAGTTGAAAACCAAGGCTACTCAAGTTTGTTTCATTTCGCATGGTTTTCACTAAACGATCAAAAACGGAAGGTGGTTTTTGAAGCGTTTTTGTTGGAGAACTGTTTAAATATGCCCAGAAGAAAAAACCAATCATAAAAAGTTGAAAACCACTTGGTTGGTTCGGATGCCAAAAACCAATGCCGAAAACCGAAAGTCGAACGCCGGTTTCTGAAAACCGAACGCCGGATGACTTGGTTTTTGGTTTAGGCGAACTCCAAGTGTTTTTAGGCATGTTTAAAACTTAAGAAACACATTTTTGAATATGCAAAAAACATTTTGATGAAAAGAGCCTAGAGAGCCAAGGTTTGAAAGTTTGTGCCGGTCTTGATCACATTAAGACCGACTCAATACAATTCTAAGTCTTCGTTCTTGGTTCTTGGTTCTCAAATCATCATGCCATGTTCCTTCGCCTTTGTTTTGCTCACTTTAACCTTGTTATGTCACGGCGGTTTGGCATTATCAAAACCTGTCATAAAACGAACACGGTTTAGTATGACGTAGACGTAAACCTGTGTTCCAACAGGCACCCTATTTGTAGCTGCCCTATTTGCAATCATATATCTTGTATTCTCAATCAAAAGGCATGATCTCGGTGGGCCGAACCTACTAGGTCATGTCCTAGAAAAATGGCTAGGAAACACAAGCATGGGGCAAAATGTATTGTATAAATACGCCTCCTCTGAAAGGAGGAAGGCACGTTCACATTCACTACTAAGCAAAAATACTTACTCCACTCTTGCGACCAAAAGGCACTCAGCCTTTATTCGATACTCTCTTACCTAGTCTCTTAGGTCTCGGGTTCTAAAACCCATCATTGGTGCTCTCATTGAAAATGGTTGCTTCAAGAAGAGTCATAAGGTCATCCGCTAACGCCAACGGTGGGGCAACAAAATGACTGTGATGGCACCTACTAACAGGTGCCAAGACGACCTGGACATCATCCTTAACGATGGCAGACACTCTATTTAATTGGGGTGTACCTAGAGGAGTCAGCTAGGATAGGATCCCGTGCTCTTTTAGATAGTCGTCAAACTCCAGCTTAAGTACTCACCTCCTCGATCCGAGCGGAGGGTCATGATACTTTTGCCGAACTGTTTCTCTCTACTTCGTTTCTGAATTCTTTGAACTTGTCAAAGTATTCTGATTTGTGTTTCATGAGATACGCATATCCATACCGACTGCAGTCGTCAGTAAATGTTACAAAGTATGAGAAGCCACCTCTAGCTACAGTGCTGATTCGGCCACATACATCTAAGTGTATAAGGCCCAATAAGTTACTCACCCTTTCACCGTGGCCGGTAAATTGAGCCTTTGTCCTTTTTCCCAATAAACAAGACTCACATACATCATAATACTGAAAGACGATTCAAGTACGCCAGATTGGCGTAACTTAGATATGCGTTTCTCATTAACGTGGCCCAAACGACAATGCCAAAGGTATGTGAGATTCAAACTATTTAGTTTCCTTCTCTTAACATTTATGTTATAAACAGTGGCGTCTAAGTATAATATATAAATACCATTGGTCATCTTAGCAGTTGCATAGTATAATATTCCTAAAAACCAAAAGGCACTTGTCTTTGACATTAATAGAAAATCCTGTTTTGTCAAAGACAAGACACAGAAATAATATTCCTGCTAATAGCAAGTACAAACAAACAATTGTTTAAATGCAACAACAAGCCACTAGGGAGAGATAGAACATAAGTTCCTACAGCCAGCGCATCGACAAGTGCTCCATTTCCGACCTTAAGCTGGACTTCTCCCTCAGCCAAATGTCTAGGTTCATGTAGATTCTGCATAGAAGTACAGATGTGAGAACCACATCCGGTATCCATCACCCAAAAGGTGAAATCAGACATGTTGACTTCGATACCGTAAATACCTGAGTTTTGGGGCTGAGCTGGTATAGGTCTCTCAAGCGTTGTATCATAGGACGCGCTTCCATTCCTGCGTTGAGCCTTTGGAGCTCCGCGTTCATACTGGCCATAATGATACACTTCACATCTCACGCGTTGTCTTCATACTTCTTGAAGGAAGTGAGTTCAGACGCACGAGCATTGGCCTCAGGCGTCTTGGGAGGATCCATTTCAAGGATGTAGAGTTTCCTCTCACTGTCAAGAACGATTCGTAGGTTCATCTCCCAGTCAAGAAAGTTGGTCCCGGATAACTTGTTGTTTTCCAGGGTGTAACGTAAGCGCCGATTTCCATGCATCAACCGACGTTCTTGCATGAGGGACATCGGGAAGATCCAAATTACATAGAGGAAAACACGGAGTTTTTCGCCCAACACCAGAAGCATGGTAGTCAAACTCTAGATTCTACGTAAGATCGATAAGCATAATGAAGATCGTGACTCGGATTGTAAGATCCTAATATATATGTGTGTCTATATATATATATATAGACACACACACACACACACACACACGTTTAATGTTTTAATTAAATTTTATTAAAACATAACACAAGTTCAAGTTGGATCACAAATGACATAAAACTTTATTCTTAAACATCTAAAACATAATTATCAATGCTAAAATCATAATCCTCAAGTTCTTGATCTTCATCTTGATATTCATCTCCCACATCCAAATTGGTGACATCCAACACCTCTTCATGTTCAGGTTGAACATTTGCAGCAGCCTCTTCTTGTCCATTTTGTGTTGGAACATCCTTGGAGTTATTGCCAGGAGCCTCTTCTTCTCCATTTTGTGTTGGAACATCCGTGGAGTTATTGCCAGCAACAACTTCATCACCTCCTGGGTCTTCACCAACATCTTCCATAATCCACTCACTCATCATCTGACGAAAGATCTTCTAGTTTGAGCGGATTTGATCTCCTGGCTTTCTTCTTTTTTGCCAATTTTGAATTAGTCATGACAAAAACAACATCGTTCATTGTTTTCTGCTTCAAACGATTTCTTCTCTTTGTAATTACCTAATGAAAATTATCAAGTCATATTTATTTGCACATTGTAGAATGTAATAAAACTTTAGAAATCTTACCATCTCAAATGCACTCCAATTATGCTCACATCCTGACGAACTGCATGTCAAGCTCAATACTCGAATCGCAAATTTTTGAAGGTCTGGATGTTCATCTCCATATGAGTCCCACCAATCTGCTTGACTTAGCTTATCAAATGTCTTTTGAGCCAATGGAGAACCAAATAACTTTTGACGCTTCTTACAGTCCTATAGTTGAACATCAATCCTTGCCTGTTCTTCGATATCAGCCACCATGCGTCGTAAACAATCATATACGCCTTGTTTAACTTCATAATCAAATTTAAAACCGGGGCTATAGTGCATGCGAGGGTTAAGATAATAGCCTGCGGCATGCAAGGGCCTATGAAGTTGTTTATTCCATCTGAGATTGTTGTACCCCTGGATGGCTCCACTAAAACCCAACATCTCCCAAAATATCCAAAAAGCCTTTAATCTTCATTTGATAATCAAAATAAAGTCTTTTCCCTCCTTTTTTTAGCCTTGGATGAAAATGAGGACCAAAAAGGCAAACCTTGTGTGTTATTTTCTACTTCTTTTGTTCCTTTCATTAAATAAGACATTCCCCTTATTTTCCTACACCTTTCCCACAAAATTCCCTACCATTTTCTTCCCAAAATCAGGCCTAAATCACCACACACAACAAAGGGACAAAAATAAGCAAAAGGTCTTTGATTGAATAGTAACTTCTTGTCCTATTATTCACTAAAAGTCAGGCCATGTTGTTTCCTTTGTATCACCATAATAGGGCTGAGTTTTACACCAAAAAGGAGGAGTTTTCCATGCCAAAATACATCCCTAAAACCCCACTCATGAATAAAGCCAATACCCCTTTTCAAAGTCCAAAAGGGAATAGTGCTGAATTATTCTATTAAGGAATAAATCCAAGACTAGCCACATTGTATCTCTTTCCTTGTTCTTTCCCATTTAAGGCCGAAATATACCCCTCAAAATAGGCCAAGGAATGCTTCATCACAGCCACATAATGTCCTTGACTTAATCCACATATGGCTGAAATCCTTATGCAAGAAAAGCCAAACAAAATCCACAATCTTTGTCCTAGAATTCAACACAAATGGATGGTTGTGCATTAATGTCAAACATGTGATTTAGGAAGAAGAAAGGAAGTTGCCATTGTTGTTTTTTTCCTTCCCCTTGTTGTATATAATCTCGGCCATGAGGCCATTGTAAACCAGATTGTATTGAATGAAAAACTTTGTTTACTCTTTTGAGTATTCTTTTAAAATAGTGTGATGCTATTTTAACCAAATTTCCTAATGAAATATCTCTAAAGTTGGCTACTTTTGAGTGTGTGTTAGGAGTCTATTTTATACATTAGTAGTGATTATTATTGTGTGAAGTAGATAACAGCCCCAAATATAATAAGAGTGTGTTTATCTCTTATTCATTATTTGGTTTATCCATCCTTGTTTTCTACCCATTTTGTTCCTCTCCATTTTCTCTTCCTAAGCCACATTCTATCCTATCTTCATAAATCAAAATACCAAAAAGAACTCCTTCATCACCTCCATATTTTACCCAGCCATTTCCAACAATCGATTATCATAAAAGTGATAATTGACTATCGGGCATCTCTGAACATTCGTGGTTTGGAAATCATATCTTGTTAATCGATTATCAGTTAATGATAATCGACTATCACTAGTTTCTGAACTTAGGAATTCAAAGTTGCTTCCTTCTTGCATCCATTTCCTCCGTAAACCCGCCATCAAATTGATTACTCGATAAGACCTCGGGTCTCGGGTACAACAGAGATCAATGACACTCCACAAAGGCCTATAACTGAACACAAAAGAAGTATTTTAATTATTACTTAAATTCTAATTAATATTTTATGATTTTATTCTACAAAGGACTTATGTGATGTACCTTTTCTTGACATTTTGGAAAGCTGCTTGTATCTTTTCTTTTGCTCGGTCCATTGCCTCGTAAAGAAATCCCATGGCAGGTTGCTCATCAGAATCAACCAAATGAAGCACCTCATTGAGAGGTAATGCACCCTTTAAGCATATCACTATGTTTTTCCAAAACTCCTTATCCAACACAATCTCCTCCACATCTTTTCCATCCTTTATTTTTGAGTGTTTGTGATATATCTAAGCTTTGGGTATTTTGAGGGATACAGTGGTTTTAAGATTGCAGGAGTGTGATAGTCGATTATCTAAAAGAGATAATCGATTATTAAAGGGTTTAGTTTCTCGAGGGATTTTGGCGGAGGTTTTCAGAAAGGGGTAATAGTCGATTTACAAGTATATGTAAATCGATAATTGATGGCTACGGATGTTTCATGTGAGTTGATAATCGATTTTACCAAGTGGATAATCGATTATAGGACAGTTTTAGGGAACGAAAAGGAGGTGTTTTAGTACACGGAGATAAACCAAGGAGGTCTAAGAGATATAACACACTCTTATCCTTTCTTGGGGTTGCAATCTAGACTTCAATTAAGATATAACACACTTACTGAAATTCTAGAACCTAACACTCACACTTAAGGAAACCAACCTTAAGATATAGAAATTAGGATTTGAAAACAGAATACAACTAGTGTATTTCTATCATAAAATGAAGAATAATATGCTGAGCATTACAATAGGCCTATGGCCGAAATTTAAAGGCACTCATACAAAGGAAAATACTAAGCTATTTCTTCCACAAATCCTAGAAAATGCAGCCATGTGCTTTAGTCCTTTCATGGAATAAAATCAGAGAAAATGGGGACAAGGATTCATGAATGAATATTCATGGATGGAAGGGGGGTTTCGGCCATATTAGAAGGCAAAATGGATGGGTGATGTGTTGGGTATTTTGGCTTGGCTAGTGAGGTGAATATTTGGTGGTTGGGGGGTGATTCATTCGGCCATAGTGGGGGATAGTGGGGTGTGAGAAATACGGCCTTTATATGGTGGTTTAAAGGTCAAAGTAATCAAAAATATCCCTTGGCTTGTTGTGCTTGTTATTTCGGCTGTACTAGGGAACAAGAGGGGGACAATGTTTGTAGGATGTTGGGTGATGAAATATGGTTGTTTAGCTTGGTGTGTTTCGGCCCTAGCTTAGGGAAATGAAAGGGGAAATGACTTATTGTGTGATATGGTTTTTTGGCACAAAATGTGTTACATTGATGGAGTGACTCAAGTAGGGTAGTGGGTGGGGTAGTCTTGGACAAGGGAAAGGAAAAAGAGGTTGGGGTTTGTAGTTTATTTTTTTGGGTTTTAGGTTTGGTTATGGGGCAGGGTATACAGCTCTTTTAGGGTGGAGATAGGCTCAAGGTTGTCATGGTTAAGTAATGTGGTTTGGGGTTGGAGAATTCATTCCAGAAAGGATCGTAACACTTAGACATGATTCCATTGATTTGTTTAAGGATTTGAGGGTCATGTGTAGTACTAGGGGATACAACAGTTTGTTTGTCTTCCACTCTTTTGAGGTAAACATTCTAATTAAACTACCTTTGTTTTCATAAAGACACCCCAAAGTTAGATAAGCAGTAGCAAATCGGGTCATTCACGGTCTCACCAAATCTTTCCCATCTATGAAGTGGTGTAATAGAGGAATCAGAGAAGGTCTAGAGTAAATATAAGTAGTGATTTTGCGACCATTAGGAATTGTCAGTCCATGGATTGGGATTTTCTTTTCGAAGTTCTCTAGCATGAGATCAATGCAATGAGCCACACATGGTGTCCAATATAGCCTTTTTCGCTTCTCCATGAGTAGAGTACCTGCTTTTACATAATTTGGGGCATTATCTGTCACAATCTGAACAAGATTTTCTTCACCCACATCTTCAATCACCTCATCCAACATCTCAAAAATCTTGTTAGATGACTTCACTATTTCAGAAGCATCAAGTGATTTCAAGAAAACAGACCCCTTTGGACTATGAACTAGAAAATTAATCAATGCTCTTTTTTTAATGCCAGACCAACCATCACTCATTATCGTGCACCCTGTCTTCTTCCATTCGCTCCTATGTTCATTGACAATGGGTTCTATCGACTCCACTTCTTGTTTTAAATACTTTACTCTGATCTAATGATATGACGGTGGCTTGAATCCGGGTCCATGTTTTGCAATCAAATCACACATGATACGAAACTCTTCACTTCTTGCCGTGTTGAATGCTATGGCATTGTTGAAGTAATATCTCGAAATTGCTAGACATGCATCTTCTCTCAAACTCTTCTTGTACATGCTATTAATGGTGCTTTGATTGGTCGCCCTTTTTTTGGAAAAAGTATTCGATCCATCACCAACCTCGTCATTGATTTTTCTTTTGAAACCAACATTTTCACAATCATCATCATCGTCTTCATCCTCTTTTCGCCTTTTCTCTTTAGAGGTAACTACAATGTCCCACATTTCTTGCCTCAACTTATCAGAAACACTTTTGCAAGCACCCACATCCTTTTGTGTCCCTGCTAAGTGATGCTTCATACGGAACACCCCCCCGGTTATGACTTTGCTACAATAATTACATTGTAGCTTTCTATTGCTAGAATCAATTGCTTTGCAATGTTCCCAAGCAACATCTGTTTTCTGCCCAGGAGCATTTTTTGCAATTGGTCTACTAAATGGAGTGGCTGAAG